CTAGCTGACTGACTAATATGCTTCCTTAACTGACCGAGTGATTAACTGTCTGGCTGTCTTACTGACTGTGTAATCAGTGAAAGGCTGTGTGTTTATAAAACAGCCATAGCCACGGCCACTCTGCGAGTGTGTGATTGACAGTCCTGCCTGTCAACTGTCTCTGTTCCTCCAGAGAGAGGGAGAGAACTGAGTGCTGTTAGCACTGAGCAGAGAAGACAGTTATTGATTTTCTACTTGTCTATTATTTTTGTTTTTCACAAAGAAAAGGCAAGTGAGCAAGGCAAGTGTGTTTGTGTGTGTATGTGAGTGAGCGTCTCCTTATATTCGGTGCACATGTGTTTATATGTTGCTTTGCTGTCCGTATGTTGCCCATTAGGGTATGACTGGGGAAGTGTGAACACACCCGGTGCGTGTACACTGTTGCCTCCATGCTGCTGCTGCTCAAAGTTTATTGCTGGCCAACGAACACAACAATCTATCTCCTCCTTACACAGCTCACTAATTGGGTGGAAACTGGCAGCTGGAAGAAAACAAGTCTTTGTGTGTCTGTATGCTGTGTGTGCTTGTATGTCTGGGAATCAGTGTTTCTGTGTGTATTAAATCTAATCTCAGCAGACACCTTTCCGTCTTAGCAAGCGTCAGTGATAATGAAGTGAAGTTTTTGGTTCAACTTTGCACTTTTTGCACCACCAATAGAGTGTAAGAATTTGTTCTAACTCATATGAAGAAATGGTTGACAAAAGCATAAAAATCAAGGTAAAACAAATCACATTGTGGTTATTTTTGACCTTACAATAAGATTACTGCCATATAATGTCTTGATGTAATGTTGTAGCGCTAGGACAATATTCTTCTTCTAGCTCTAGTTCTAGCACCTGATTTTGATTTGGTCTTTGTATAAAAATGAAGCAGTATCATAGAGTGCCCGGTGCCCACAGACGGCTACAAGTGGGGTGGCACCTCCGTGGCTTGCAGCAGACAGGTTGAGAAGACAGAGTGAAGATAAATCCACTTAAAAATTTAACTCCAAGCTCTCCTCCTGTCGGTGAATGTCTCCAGATCAGAGCAGAATCCGGCATGACTGCAGGTGTTTATTCCTCCAGAAGCTCCAGCTCTTCCCCAGCTCTCTTCTTCAGACCTCCCCGGGCTCCAGCTCTGTCTCTCTGTTCCTCCCCACACAACACTGCAAAATCACCACAATGTGCTCACATTCTTTACAAAAGGCTGTACATTTTCAACTCGCACAGAAAATGGTGTTCTTTTATAATTAATGTACTCCCATTCATCTCAACACAAGAAATGATCATCTCCCTGACACCCAGCTGATATAAACGGGATGAACAAAATATTAGAAGCACCTTCAGTGTAACTGCACCACAAACTACATCATCCAGTATGACCATTAAGTTGAATCAGCACCTCTTTAAAACAGTTTCAACAAAAAAAACTCAACATTATAACCTTCATGAAGGTTGGATTTATTGCTGGATTAGACTACATTAGCTTTAGCTCTCTGTACTTAATAATCTGGCAAGTGTACGTCTTAAATTCGGTGCAGACCTTGAGCTCGAATATTTGGCTGCCCTCCCCTGTCCATGGTGTTGTGCATAAAAAGCTTTTCCTGTCTTTAAATTATCCAAGTGTGGATGGCGGCAGTCCAAATTTGGACCTGGGGCACCAAATTGAACCGTTTGTACTGTGGGAGGTACTAAGGGTCAGTTTGAAATGCAGGAACTACTTCATACACTATGCATGAGGCATAATGTCTCATCACAGCGCTGTATATACCTACACACCCTGATGCCACAAACTCACACATGCATGCACCTACACACACGTTAATGTGTGCATAAACTCCTGTGCACACAGACAGACCTACTTTCACACAAATAGTGCGTTTTCATGCACATATGCAGACACACACTGTCCCCCTTTATATCTGAGGACGTGAGTGGAACAGTAAAGCTAAATCCCCTTGTCACATTTGCTGCTCATCTCCAATTCAATGGCACAGGCTGCGATGCCCTCGGATGCACTTGGCAAGTGAACAGCTAACCTGCCCGCCAGTAAATCTGTCTGCCAGCCGAGCACCGAGGTAGTTAGCATGCCAACTAGCCCACCCAGCAGCCACAAGCTAATGCTTCACTAACCCTGGGTCACCCTGTCTTCTCCTGCGTCTGTGTGTTTGTTTGTGTATTGACACAAGAGGTGTTTAGTTGTGGCTTATAGTAGGCTGGCTTTCTGAAACACAATCAGTTATTAGTGTTATACTACCGCAACTCACATAGACAATTCTAAATAAGCTTATCTCATTTTAAAACCTATTTTGATACACAAACATCAAATCTGCTGCTCTACAAGAGTTCTTTTTTTTCTCTCCTTTTAATCTGTGCAGAGTTTTTCTACAAAATGAGTTATTCTAACATAATTATGATAGAGTGGGAGTGGAGCTTATAAGCTTCAATTTATTTGCCATCTTTTAAAAGTAGAGTAGCTGTACCATTATCAATTAAGATTTTTTTTTTTTTTAACATGATTTATTTTGTGTCTTGGAATAACCTCCATCTGGTACTAAACGCAAGAAACCATCCCAAGACATCTACTGTAGTCACATTTTATATATTCATTTCAACATTTCAAGTCAGTGGCAAGCAAATGTCTCCACAGTCAAGTCTTACAGAGGAACCATGATCCACTTGGGAATCTTTATCTTAAATTTTAACTGCTTCATATATACGCAACTTCAATTCTTGCAGAGGCAATTGATTTGCAGCGGATGAAACAAGACAGGGAAACAAGCAGTGCAGAGTTTTAATCGCGACATAAAACATGCAACTATCCAGACTTCACTGCACACGACCTACAGTAACAATGAGTCTTGTTAATTAATTTAATGACTTGTGGGATAAGGGGTTGCTGGATGTTCATCGATTTGACCTTATTTTTGGCAGGTGGTAGCGAATACCTGAGGCAAGAGGGAGACATTTTTATTAAAGTGAATGGTCACAGTCCAAAACTCTTGAAATCTCCCAGAATGTGTCTAACCTGCAGTAGAATGAGCTTAAAATGATAAAATATATTGCATACATGCAGAAGTAAAGAGTAAAGGGACAGAGTTACAATGATGATGTGGCGTACTACAGAGAATATAAATGATAGTCTGGCCAGAGGTGGAAGCCCAGTGCAGACAGTGGTCTCATTTCTATATACAACTTTAAGAAAACCGTAATAGTGACACTGGTAGCCATTAAGTCAACTGCAGTCAGCATCCTGTTGCTCACACTCGGTACACAGTCCATACACATAAGTAAGCATCCAAAAGCGACGTACACTAGACTGAATGCTGGAAAATGTAATACATTAATATTTAGAATAATGTTACTGTGTTGAATATCCCTATATTTTATTTGGGCCATTGATTCCATGCTGCTAACTAGCTTGTCGTTTTCAAATCACAGTCAGCTGGCCAACCCACGTTTAGATTTTGTAGGTCTAATTTTTGAGGTTACGTTACAATTTGTTCCCACATTGGCAATTCAAAGTGATTAATACATAAAATGCTTTCGAATACATATGGAACCTTTAAGTAGGAATATAATAGACTGAAGTTATGTATATAAAACGTTACTGCTCCAGCCACTGCATCAGATACAGATACACACACCACCTCAACCCCTCTACTCCGCTCCTCTAAAATTATGTGTGGACTGATCATTTAAATAAGGTTCCTTTTCTACTCTTTTCCTTCATCCTTTCTCCCTAGTCTTCTTCGTGAGCCTCGTCTGGTGCTGTCACTTCAGCACTAAGCGTTGGTGCTATGGCAACAGTGCAGAGTCCCGATAAGCAAGAAAAAGGCAGTTACAAGCTGTTGGATTTTAAGGTGGAATGAAGAAATATAATAAAAGCAAGTCACTGAAAAGCTCTGACATTACTTGAGAGTAGAGACACACTATGCTCTCTACTCTCGCTTCAGCAAAGTAGTTGTAGTTCAAAGTGCCTTGCTCAAAGGTTGAGGGGTTTGTTTGAATGGTTACTCAGTCGGTTGCAGTTGTTGCTGTTGCAGAAGAAATCTACAAAAAAAAAAAATCAATCTGGTCAGGTGTGTGTGTGTGTGTGTGCGTGTGTGTGCATGTGCGTGTGTGTGTCAGGGGTTTTCTTTTTTTTTTTTCTGTGTTGCCACATTCAGTTTGAAGCCAGCTACCAGCCAAATACTGCCAGGGCAGAGGTCAGACTTTCTATAGGGCCACACTCAACACGTTCCTCTGTGTTTGTAGTACATCACGTACGTTTCTGTCTCTTACACTCAAGAATGAAACATTTTGACCAATTAGTTGATTAAATGCAAGTGCTGTGTTATTCTACATCAAAAAACAAATCAAATTGGTTTCCTTTCTTAAAGAAAGTTCCTGACAAATGAGCCCTGTTTCCATGTTTGCAAGAATCATCTTTTTTGGAGCAAGTAGAATTGGCAATTATCTGCACACCACCTGGGTACCCATTTTCATGCTTTTCTAAGTATCAAAAATAAAGCTACATCAGTTTGCTCTCTCTCTCTTATTCTCTCCTTTTTTAAGATTCGGTATGTAGTGGGATACATAATTGTAATTCAAGAGTCAGTAATATTAAGCAGATATTAACTCCTCACAATGCCGAAAGAGGAGTCTGCATTGTAAGTATGGACTAACATTTACTCTGATTCTACTAGGGAGACGATTTAGCTAGATAGATGCGTAGATAGCTGTAGATGTAAGTATGGCAGAGATGACGTGGTAGGATGGCAAATGGCAAAAATAGGAGAAATGCTCAAATTTCCCTTAATGATATTTAGATATTTAGATACTTGAGTGACTGCTGTGTTTTTGTGGGAGGGACTGCATTTCCCATTATGCATACTGACTTTTGCTAGCTTCCCCTTGGGTTTTTGTAATGTAAAGTTATAATTTGATGGTTTCTCCTCTTTTCTACCCCCACCCCTCTTGTCTCCCTCCCTGTTTTTTCAGAGCTCACTGAAGAATCACGGCTGAGAAACCCAAAGAAAGCAGGAAGAGAAGAAGTGAAGAAGGAGAGAGCATGTCAAATCTGTCCATTTCTCGCCTCCTTCTGTCCTTCTCCTATTCATCCATCCATTTATTTATCCTCCATCACTAAATAACCCCCTCCTCTTTCCCACTCACCGTCCTTCTTGGTTTTTGAGTGTATTATCTTTATATGCCACTCCAGAGTGTATGATGTGTTGATTTATTGTCAAGTTGCGCCGGCACACCCCTGCCGTCGCTGAAATAAATCCCAGTGATCTGGTGGTGATGAGACTGCAGGTTGTGTCTCTTTGTGTCTTGTGTGTGCGATGGCGGATGTCTCTTGTCACGGCACGCTAATAATGCTTCCACTACTGAAAATGGGGTCGTGTGCACCCTTCTCACAATACTGTGCAGGCCCAGGGGCTTGATTGTGTGCCGTGCTCATGGTTTCATTAAGAGAGAGAAGGGAAATGAGAGTGAAGGAAATGAGGGATAAATGAAGTGGAGGACAGATGAATAGTGAAGTGTGCGTGTATTAATGTGTGCGTGCTTGTGTTTTTCCACTATAGCGAACCCGTGTAGACGTATGTGTCGCCACGTAAGGGTGCACATGAGCAACACACCGGACAGGCCACATATTGTCCCTGCTAACTGTGTTTCCATGGTGACAGCAAGGGTTGGTGCTAGCAGCAAGGTGTGGAGGAACCTTCCAGATAACCCTGAAGGTCAGCACACAGAGCTACAGCTCACAGCACCACTCTGTACTCACACACTTAACACTGTGTGAGTCCACTGTGTGTCTGAAAGAGAGGGACTCAGTTAAGATGCATTTCCACTTATATATGGACATGGTTGGCCACCCTCGGAATGACAGAGGCTTGTTATCGCGCACACACGTATTGCACATAGTCACAGAGCAGACACACACACAGAATATTAATGGTTTTATAATATGCCCACATAGTTGTTCCTGGATATAAATACACATTCACACAAGTGGTAGTCAATGTGGATGTAGTAGAGGGCATTTGTTTATGACAGCCGTGAGGAGTGATCTATTGATCACAGTTCTGACCGATCTATACAATATACGCTCTATTATAGAAATCTAAAGTGAAATACTGAGACCAATTAAATGGATTTAAGAGCGTGTGCATGTGTGCGTCTGTCAGTCTGTCAATCCGGTTTTATGTGTGTGAGTCAGCGAACACATCCAAAACTCCACTTCCTCACCAGGGATTAGGCAGCTCTAACCCAGCAGACATGATGCACATATTACCTATATTAAATGGAGCACCATATTAGAGGTTTCATCCAGTGACTCTCATATCCCCTCTCTCTCCCTGACATTTCTTTACAAATACCAGCCTCTATTCACTCTGTTATTGCCTTCTCCCATTCAGCAATTCTCTGATTAAACAAGCTCCTGAAAAGCCTAGACACTGCTATGTGCCATTTGGCTTTTATTAGAAACCCTCCCCCTTTAATTAAATTGGCTGAATTACAGAAATATCAGGGATATTTCACCAATATATCGGATAAGAGAGCACAATGAGTGATAAAAAAACTGGGCTTTATGAGATGTTTTGAATGCGGTTTTGGTGGTAAAATGAGATAAACACAATCTTGATGGAGAGGCGATGTTTGTTTTTTTTAAGAAAGCCGAGATTTGTTGGGTCTGAATGAGTCTCATCATCGAAACGTGTGTCACAGCTGAAACTCTCCGTGCCTGTCATTTTTATTTATTTTTAGAGAATTTCTTAAGAAGTCGATTTATTTTTCACTCCCTCCTTCTCCTCCGACTCTATTTCAACCCTGCACCTCCAGAGCCAATGCCTTTATTTTCCCGCCTTATTATTGTGAAAGATAGGGGATTGAGGTTGCCGTGGTAACCGGCCTGGCTTTGATTGGAGGAGACAGCTGCATGGTGCGAGGTTAGAAGATGGCTGCTCATGCCTCACAATGCACCACTATTGATTTCCAGTCCCTGACAATTACGGGGTCCAGTTGAATAGAACGGTTTTGCAGAACATGTGCATAAAGCAGATGAGTGTGTGTTTGTGTTGTATGGGGGGGGGGGGCAAACACCACATAAGTGCAGGTGTTTGCCTGAAAAGCGATTCTTTGAGTTGCTGCCAGAGCTTTAACCTCTCAGACGTCCTGTAGCTTGAGCTGGAGACAAGTTTGACAGTCGGCCATGGAGCCTAATGTATATGTGTGAGCAGCCCCGCACCGTCTCCTTTGTTCGTCTCTCGAAACGGCTGTTTGCCGGCTGTTCTTTCTCATCCAGCTGAAGAGGTGTCAGCAAATGAGAGGTGGTGTCAGACTTTGACAAACTGCTGGCCTTTGTAAAGACTTAATAGGGATCAATTCAAGTAAAGTCAGACATTTGTAGAATTCACATGCAGTCAGACAGAAATGCTCACACACACACACATATGTAGCTACTTCTTCTTGGAGTTCACCCGCTGCAAAAGTCTTTTGTCCTACACTTTCCTCTCTCCCTCGCTGTTTCCCTCCCTACTTTTCTTCTCTCTTCCCTCAGCCAACTTGGCATTGCACACGTGAGACGTCGACAGTGAGCCTAATTGGAGTGTGTGGCTCCATCAATGACAGTCATCATTTTGTTTCTGCACGCAGCACACTCTCGCATGGAGCTCTCTAGCTAATTGAATAGTCTTTTATTAAACTGTGTTAATGTGAACTGGAACTGGCTGCTGGTGAATTGAATTAGACCCCCTACCACAATCACCAACTATGCACATAAACACACGCAGCTTAGTGAAGCAGTTGGATGGATGGAACCTCAGCATGGAGGGAGGAGGAAGAGGAGAGAATGGGGAGGGGGAGAGAGAGGTGAGTTTTGTTACATTCATTGTAATTTAGAAGATCTGTGTAAAAGTGTTATAGGCCCCGGTATCACAATGAAATTATGGTAAAGTGGAAAATGAAAAAAGTGACTCATTATATATTACTCATTTAAAAAGTAATTGCATCACTTTGCTAATTGCTCTTTAGCAGAAGTAATTGGTTACATTATTCATTACATTACATCAGCAGCTAGCCTAGCCCCGGTGGCTAACTGCATGCAGCACAGCAGAAAGTAAAGCCACAGGGTTCACACACTCTGCAACTGGAACTGGAACCCAGGTGAAAAGTGAATTTTCGGCTAACGAGTGGCTAGTTGGGAAGCTAAGAAACACCTCTGGAATTACCACGTTTCTTTTCTTTTGTGGCAGCTAGATTCCCCTTAACACCTCCAGCTTTTGCGTCAAGCTAGCACCTCCTGGGTGAGCCTGTGATTAGATAGCTTATGTGAATGGGAAAATGCATTTTTTGTGATTTGGGTGAAACAAACTTTTAAGCTGTATATGCGGCTGACAAGTTTATCTTGAAGACTTGATCAACAATTACATCCACATGCAGTCAATCCAAAAAGAGAGATTCAGCCTTCTCCCACATTTGTCCCAGATTCCACTCTTCTAATACACTTACTGTTTGGCCACGCCCCAATCACTGATCTCCCCTTTCTTATAACATCTTGTAGCTACAAAGCATCCTGGTCTATTGTTGCTCCTCCTCTGTCACCCTGAGGGACAGATACTCATACCTGTGCTGCAAATATCTGGAAATGAAGTTGAGGGATTTATGTTTGGCCATTTGTCTAATAAGAATGAGCAACTGTCTGGAATTTCAAGGTACAACAGCAATAATTTAGTGTCTTAAAATGTATTTGTGAGAGTTTCTTTGATCATACATAGTGAAATGACATTCGTTTATACTTGATGTTGAGCACTGAGTGTACTGTCTCCATTTGACCCCCAGGGAGAACTACTTTCTGTGTCATCCAGCATCTGCAGACAAAGACATACACAGAGAAAAAATACAAAGGGTGTTAGGACTATGGAGACAGTGTAGAGATAACCAGAGGAAGCCCTGAAGCAGCAGGGGACCTGACCCAAGTGTCTGGAGTGAAACTCGGACTGTCACAACACGTGACTGAGGGTGGAGCAGTTCAAGAACACTGCACTGTCATGGCTGACACTGGGGGAAGAATAGAGCCTTGGAAGAAAGGGAACAAACAGAAAAGCAGAAGGCTGAACAAACCCGACGCGCCAGTGACAACAGAGAATGAGGAAAAGGAGCAAGGGAAAGAGGTCAAGGTTGTTCAGGACGAAGTTGTTCATCTGAGTGCAGGGGGTGGAGAGAGAGATGGGGCGGGTGAAGTTAGGAAGGTAGAGAAAGGAAAGAGCTGGAGAGACGGTCCGCTGAGGCCTGTAGAGGCAGCTTGAAGAAGATAGCTCCCTCCTCTCTGCTTTATTATATTACACTGGTGGATAAAAAGAATCCGACATTCTCTAAAGTCATTACAGCCCAGTAAGACTGGCTCAGAGGGCAACGCAGCTCCTTAACCCCTCTCAGCACATGCCTGGATGTGCGTGCGTCTCTCCGAGGGTGATTGAATGAGAGGAAGGGGTGCGCACGCGTCTGAGAGAGACTGAGCGGGCCTGTTTGTGTGTGCGTATGTGTGCACACACAATTCACCAAACCAAAGTGGCACATCACTTAATCCTTCCCCAGTAACTAGGATAAGCCACCAGTCTTATCTTCCCTTCTCCCCCCTCGTTCTTTCCCTCACTCTGTCTTTCCTCAGGAAACTATTGTCCCCTTTTCCCGTCATACACTCCTCACCCCCCCTCCCTTTCTCATTCTTATTATTACCCTCCTCAGCCCCAGACTTTAATGCCTCATTATTCTGTATTTAGGGCCTGAAATCTTGTCTTGTGCCGGCAGTAGGGGCTAACATGGATTCTACATTTCTTTGGTTCTTTATTGCCAGGCTGTGCACAGGATTTGAGAGCATCTTTCCAGGAGAAGAAGGATTTTGCCGCCATCGACAATCACGCTGGCAGCTCCTGGCAAGGTGCGATATTGTGATATGCCAAGAATTGTTGCTACATCTACCCGTGGGAATGGAGCAACAGGTCTAAGGATATCTGAGGTTATGTTGAGTTGCAGGTGCAGTAAATGTGTGGTTTGTTTTTAAAGCGACAGATTAGGTGGTGGCCAAGAGTGACTGTTCAGCTAATCTTCTCTGTTCATTAATTTTAGTAGGTTGTTATACACTCACAATCAGTGCAACAGTACAGAAAACTGAAATTTCACAGGTTCAGATTCACAAATATCAACAATTTTTTATATATACGAAAAAGGAAAACTAATTAAAAAGGATAAGTCTGGTGAAATTTTATATTCTTCTTAATTGTCATGTCAAGACCAACACCAACAATGAATT